ATTAAAGTCTCTGTCGGTTGAAGTTGGTCCTTATGTCGAGAACTGACTCCCTGTTAAATCTTTCACAGTTATACGAGTTGTGTTTTAGGACTTGTTTACACTGAGGTGGGGGATGGCAGGTAGGTGAGCTCACTCGTCCAGTTGGAGGAACCTGCCTGTCCATATGATCTCTAATTTTAACTCGATCACCTTGTTTTATACGATAGGGGGGATAATCCCCGTAGGCCGGTTTACCCGGTGTGCCCTGTAGGGTAACCCTATCAGGGTTACAATTTGCCACGAAGATGTCTTAAGGTGGGGTAACCCGTCTAGCCGGGGTCGCGCTCAAGTTACATTGAATTTCTCAGGGACTTTTAAGAAAACCACGAAGGTGACGGCAACGAGAAGGTAACGAAACAATTGATCAAATGATCAAAACAATAGCGAGCGTTAAAACATGCGTTTGCAAATTTATTAGCCGTTCCATACAGAGCAAAAACGTGAAATCACCAACTTTTAAGTCCTCTTAGCAAGGGAGACTCGACAACAATTTAGTCAAGTTTTGATTTTGAACTCAATACTAGATTCACATGTTATGCCGAAGTAAATATGTCGTGCCGTCCGAAACGGTTAACGCATCGAGGTATTGGCGAAAATTGTATAGGAAAAGAATTACGTTTTACGGCAACCCTTTACAACACGTCGCCGTAATGACATCTTAAGAGCGTGTCCAGGAGAAAACCGGGTAGGTGGAGATCGATAGATCTCAAATCACCGATTTGGCTCAAAGTTAGCAAAGTGCTAAGTATCATGAGTTAACAACTGTGTTAGAATAATAGGTCAAAATATTCAATTTCCTGGGAGATATAGGGTCCCCCTTGGAAAATCCCCCATTTTCTGCATCCTTTGCATAATTAATTACCTAACTTTGCATTGCTGCTCTAACAAACTGAAAATCCATCTCCAGATTCAATCAGCTGGGTTGCATTTCATATCTATCAGAATTCTAGAAAATATAAATGTTTTAACTCTTTCATTTCATTTCTTCCCTTACCTCTCTTAGGCGACTTTTTCTGGTTTTGACAAAGTCCAAGAATAAGGGCATTTTGAGGTCCAATATCTCCGATGAGCAACCACTTCTGATCATTATTCATAGATGGGCAGCAGTGAAAGTCATCACTGGACTTCTAACATCAGTAATAAAATTTTTAGGCAATTTCTTTCATAGCCCGCGCCGACGTGAGAATTTTAATCTATCTCCCGCTTTTTAGTCTATATCATCCAAATTCCGTACACCACATCTTTGTTTTATTAACTTAAAATAGCTTAAAATTTACAAGAAATTCCTCAGAGAGTATCGTTAAACATGAACAAGGAGAGAATATTTGAATAGCGCAAGTTGCACCATTTTTGAGACATTTTTTCGTAGCCATATTTGTATTATTCTCGAGGAAATGCATCAAGGGCGCATGAAGTCGAACTTTCTGACCAATGAAATCTAGGAAGGATCTTCGTAGTACATACATGTCTCTGTTGTGTCTCTGTTGTAACTTTTGGCTTGATATCATTTGTCAGATAAGTAGCCATTATGTCAACAATGTACCAGATTCAATTTGCTTCGTTGCATTGTTGAAATATTAAACGCAGACAGAGCTCTCGGAAATATCCACCAAAATGATTGGTCTTTTACGGTGTGGTACTTATCGACTTACTTGATATGTGTTGGTGACAAAAACATAATTTGATGCCCTAAAAGCTGATTTTACTCAAAAGGACAACCCACCATTTTTGATCAGATCGCGCCTGTAATTTTGTTCAGCGGTCAACTTTGATATTCATTTGGCATGTTGTGTTTCTAGTCTACGAAGTTTAAAATGTAACAAAGCTTGAGATAATTGCTGGTGCACCGAAATACATTGATATATTGCTCTCCTATCAGCACAGGGAAAAGAAAAAAGAAAATGGTTAAAAACTGACACGTATATAGAAATTACATATTTTATCCGAGGTTTACTGCATACATTTGATATGTAATCTCTTGCGGTGTACTGTCATATCATATCTAGCCTCGGAGTGCATAATATATTCTGGCAGCCTCTTTACCCCAGCCACATTGTAACTGATTATATGACATACACGCTCGACCGCTGAATAATATTTCCGGCTCGGTAAAGGATGGCCCAGCGTTGATCACGTAGACGGAAGAACTAGGGGAACTAGTTTTCCACAAGATCTAGGGATCCCTTAGCAACCTTCCAACATTGGATGTGTTTGGAAATCAGCTATGTTTATTTTAAATAAAGGACAAGGATGCATCAATGTCAAAGTTATCCAATTGAGTTACAAATGACAATGAGATGAGTTTGAAAGAAGATATCTATCAGAATTTAATAGAGCTAGTCACACGAGCTACCACCGATTTCCTGTGGTCAAATATCCTATCCAAGACTTAAGGTTACTTCCCACATTTGTGGGTGTCCCGCAAAGGTGGGAGATTCGCAGGCGCGCTACTTTCATTAAATCCTTGCAAAATATACATCAGAAGAAAGCTTATTAAATGCAAACTACTACAAAAATATAATTTAAGTAAGTTTTCCCTTTAGGAGATGTCAGGAGTCGGTAAGACGTGAGACGATCGAGGGTTCTTCTATTGAATTTATCGGATATCGGATGCCGTAACACAAGCGAAATGTCTACCATCACTCAGCAAAAGTATGTCCGGCTTCTTCGATATTCTGATTGGTTGTCTAGGTATTACCATCTGAAGTTGATGTAGTTAGAAACATGCGGGGCGTGTTGCGTAAATGAACGCAAGCAAAAACTTACATTATCCTCGAATAAACATCGGCTAAATCCATTCCTGGAAGAACTGCGGCAAAAAAGCGATCGTGTCTGTTCAAAGTCGTTTTCTTGGAGGTCAAAACAACCTTGCGCCATAATCTTTCTTGTAGTAACTAGCTATGATTGCCCCCTGAAGACCACAGAGACGTTTCCGAAAATACAAGTATCCGCGAAATAAGAAAGAGAGGATTCCAGTTGCCTTTCCTATCGCTTCATACATGGGATGTTTGCAAAGACACGAGAGTTGGTGTCAAAAAATCCTGCTCTCTTGTACTCACCTTCTGACAATGTAGCTGAGTCTGACACACCGACAATCTCGAAATGCATGCCGACGTCCTTGGTACACAGTTTCTCTCATCAGTTGCTTTGCCAAATGTGCATTTTAACCTTTTTGGACTTAAATGAGCTCGGAGAAGCATAGTCTCTCGCCTACCGAGTCACTTAGAAAAGTGGAAGCGTCGACACAAGAAAGGGTTTCTTTTCCTGTTTTTGATGTTAGCATAAGTGGATTGTCGGTTATTATTTATAACTTTATAGAGCGGCTATTACACTTCTGTCTGATACTTACTACTAAATTGATGTTGACCCCTCCCTCCCTCCCTATCCTCGCCCAACTTTTCAGAAATAATCTGCACTTTTGCAATTGACCAATTTCTAAAGTACATCTCGACGAAGAGCCAGATATTACAATAGAGAGCTGAAAGAAATAACACATCAAATATAGGCAATAAACCTCGGATAAAATATGTAAGTGATTTCTCTATGCGTGTCAGGTTTTTAACCATATTCTTTTTCCTAGTGCTGAGAGGAGACCCATATACCACGGACTCGTTTGTTTTTCGGTGAGAATACACCAAATTGATAAAGAAAGAAGCCAGTAGAAATATGGAGGAAGGATGATTTCCACCGAAGGGAATTAATACGTGTCGCCTACCATACTTTGGTTGGTGTTTCGACCTATTCCACTGTGTTCCACTATTTGTTTGTTTTCAAAACGTTAGATAGAACGATCGAAGCCTTGACAGAGTAGTTTTGTGCTTCTAGTCAACATGGCTATAAGCGGCTGTCGTGAAATATCTAGTTATTCTCTCTTGATCCAGTCCATTTCTTTGGCAGCCTGCGACAGAAAATAAGGTTTCAATAATTTACGTTATGTATGAGAAAACAAAATATGAACAGTCCCTAAGACAATTCCAAAGAAATAAGGGGAGCATTGTTATTGACAGTGCCCTGCTTTCTTTATTGTATTCCTCTCATGCGTTTCGAGAACGAACAGCTCTGAACCAACAAAGCCGTGTCAATGCTCACCAAGCGGCTGATCGTGAAAAACAACGCAACTCCTGTTTTGAGTCTTAACTAGAAAGCTAATTTCACAAAACCAAATTGTACATAGGAAAATTTCAAATTTAGTCCATATAATTATGTGATGGAGAACTAAAATACCATGCTCCCTTAATTCAAGCCCACCATAAAAGAAGGTTTGCAACTGGATAACTTCTTTATCGCATAATACGGTTGATGCTAATAATGATCACTGAGTGGTTTCTATATATAATAACAACTAAATAACAACAAAGAAAGGGAATGCAATTTTCAAGCACCATTTATATGATCACGATGGCTTTTGCGGCTAACTGCTAGAATGTTGGCTATTTTACGACCAACGATTGACATCATTCCATTTGTATCACCTAAAATATTTTTCGCAGTTAACTGTTTTCATGACCAGAGGTTAAAATCTGTCAATTTTTACGCCTGGCAATTTTTTTTTCCGTTTCACGGCCATCGGTTGACCCCAGTTGTAGCTCTCTGTAAAGAAATCAAGAGCAGAAAAAACGGCACGTGTATCGAATCAACTTCTCTTATTGATGCTCAAATTACAACTTAGTAATATAGCTTAATCCAATAGAAAAGGCAAAGTCAACCCTAACAAATAAATTGGTATCAAAATGGCTGCCGCTTCTAAAACGAAGGGAGTTGGTGTAGAAGGGTAGTTCTTCCCTTCCTTAATCTACTTTTCTTGGTATACCTCTCATAAAAGAAAATAATATTAAACAGTTCCTGCAGAAAAAGGATGACCTCGATTTCTGGGTGAGATTTATCTCCATGGCACATTATTATTTAAGATAAGTATAGTAGAAGACTGAGAATAAAAGTCTGAGTATAAAATAATTTTAAAGTTACAGTGCTTTGACGGACATTTCACATAGATGTTTGGCCTCTTCGTTGCACCACACAGAAGTGGGGCGTTTATTTGGGTCTGTTTCCCAACAAATTTTCATCATGTCTTGCCAGCGGCTTAGGGGTTTATAGCATGTTTCCAAGTGTTGTGGACGATTGCCTTTATCCACCCAGGCGAAGAAGGCGTCTATGGTTGGTGGCCTGACTTCAACCTCGCAGAAGACCTGCCGCCTATACCATATTTCCCACATAAGTAACCCCAGGCTGTATATGTCTGCTTTACTGTCGTACACCTGAGAATGAAACACTTCTGGTGCCATGTAGACTGGGGTTCCCGCTAGAGTACCTGTGATGTCATGTGCTCCTTTAGAAACGCCGACATCAGTAATCTTCGCTGAATTCGTTTCTGATAGCTTAAATAAAGAAGATGAATATTGAAATCCAAATTAAGTGCGGCTATCAACTCGAGCGAGACTCTGTAACGAGCTTTTTTCACAAAAGACTTGTTAGAGGCAGACAGGTAGACGTTATCTCCGATAATACTCAGGGTGGATTTAAGTTTGTGTTAGCTGGGTCTGTAAGCGTGCACACAAATCGAGATCGACATCAATAGTCTATGAATGGGTTAGCTAAAGATCAGTAAACTTCTTATAAAGAACACCTGAGTTATATGTGCCAGTTATATTTTTACCACATTTGGCAGCAATGGGGCATTCTGATTGACCAAGTTGCTATTGTTGGTAAGAGTACAAACGACGAAGTCTCGTCGATGTTTGTTTGTCCTCGTAACAAATTCCAGTGACTTTTTTTTTCCTTTCGTTCTCCTTTTGACAAATATTGTAAAATCACGTATGCATCAAATTTCTCTATCTAAAATCTGAAATGATAAACATCCTTTAAGTTTCATACCAATACATTCTCCAACTTAAGGTCCCTGTGAACAACTCCTTGTTGATGAATAAAGGCGAGAGCAGCGGAAATATCCTTCACCCACCGACATGCTTCTCTTATGGTAGCGGAATTTTTGGAATTTGCGGGAGCCAAGCTGAGATTTCTGAAGACATGACTCTTTAAGTTTCCTTTGCAGTGCTCCAAGACCATTATCACCTTCAATTTGCCTTTGATGTCAAGCAACGACATGCCATAAAACATGACAATGTTGGGATGCTGTAATTTTCTAATAAAAACATAAAAATAAATTTTTTTACACCAATATGAAGTAAGAAGCGGTATGCAACAAACACGGAAAGTGTGTCACAGCGAAACTGGTACTGAACGAGAGTTTGAAAAGTTTGTTAAGTAAACCTTACTCCTGTGTGCCATTATAATTCATTGGTTAGTTTTCAAATTTTACATCAACTTTACGGTAGTATCTTGACTTTACGCAACAAAGCCAAAATAATGCTGAATTGACATGTGCTGAGCATATTTCGAATCCCTCTCTCCAGCTCATAAATCAACTTACATTACGGAAAAAATGTCTTATGCAATTTCGGCACTTAGCAGCAATCAGATTCGAGTGAACGATGTTACTGTTCATTTTGATAACCAGTGGGTCCGGGGACATTCTTTTGTTTTTAATGCAGCATTTTCCGTGTGAGAAACGCGTATTTATAGCCGATTGCGATGATACTTCGCACATGAGTGAACTTGGCCCACACCAAGGCAAACTAAGAATATTGGTGGCGGCCTAAGAAATTCGAAAAAACTGATTACTTACGTTAGAAGATCAATTTCATTCAGGATAACACTTGCATTTCCGGGATGAAGGAATTCATGGAAAGCTTTCAATGCCACAGTTCGCTCCTCTCCGTTTTCGGTCTTCATCTTTCCTCGGTAAACAGAGGCAAATGCTCCGCGGCCAAGAAGATCGTCCTCTTTCCACTCCAAGTCCCTACTGCTGACGTCAACGGCGCGGACCTCGCTGAGCCCAAAAATGGCAAGACGACCTCTAATCTCAACAGCCTCATCCAGTAGAGGCTGGTAGAGTTCTATTATTTCCTTCTTTGAACGTGTTTCATCCTTGAGCTGTTTGCAGGCCACAATGTCAGCTTGAACCAGCTCTGGAATGCGCGCCTCAATCTGTTTCAGGCAAAGTTTGGCATCATTCAATTGGTGTTTCACGAAGGACTCGAGGGTGGATTCTTTTATCACCTCGTCCAAGTAGTCTGCAGACGCTTCAGCCATAAAAGCACGCTTGTCTTTTTCGTACTTCTTGATTTTGCTTTTATCCTCCAACTTGCTCTTAATGGCCATTATGCCGACTACTGGGGAAACGATTACAAAGGCAACGATACCAACAGGGACCCATAGTGGACTTGTAATAGCAATGGCAATCTTTTCCCCAAGGGTAAAGAGAGTTTCTTCATCAGGAGCATCACTTTCCAGTATCACCTCGTCAGATGTGACAGCGCTTTGTAGATTTCGGAGTTCCCCCGAAACAAAGTTGTATTTCTTCTGAAAGTGCTCCAGAAGTGATTCTCGAGTATCTGCGAACACGTGGTTGTCCTCTTCCCAGTTCTCTATGATATTTCGAAGGCGCCTTTCCAACACTCTAGTGATGCTGTTCTTCGTCACTTTCCAGGAGCTTTCTGCTTTCGGAACATCATCCAATGTCCACGAGGTGAAACATGATTTTACACTATCGGACCGGAGATAATCAGAGAGCCTCTGTACAGCTGTGTCGGTGCGATCTTTTAAATGATTGCGAAGATCTTCCATCACTTCATTCTGTTGTCGCTCTATCAGCAGTAACCGGAAAAGAACAAATGTCATCAATGCTTCGCTTTTCACTCGGTCTCTTGTAGCGTTCTTCACATAAGCGGTCGCATGGTAAGTTATTCGGGTAAGCAGATCGTCTAACCACCTTTAAAATATATGTAAATGTTGGAATCTAAATAGTCATTCCTTTCGAGCTGTTTGTATTTTTATCTAACACAATAGACAAGTCTCAATTGATAGGATGTGCTCTAGATTTTTGTGTGCTAAGTATTTCTCTTAAGTTAACCTACACCAATACTCTGTGTTACACTATATTAAAAGCAATTGAACCCCGTATTTAAATGCTTACTTCCAATGAATTTCAAGTCTTGCCTCTATGGTTCTGGATACCATAGCCTTCACCCCATTCATCAGAGAGGAAAAATCTTCGGTGATGATTCCATGTCTTTGAGCAGTATCGGCCATTATAGTTGACATATAGACGATTTGCGACTCTGGATCAAGACCAGGCCAGCATTTCTTCAATTTTTTGATAACGTGGCTCTTAACCTCTTTCACTTCTTCTTTTGGAACTTGGTCCCACTTATTACAAACGAATAACGCACACTTGGGTGGGAACTCCTCTTGCCCCTCTTTCCGTTTTCCAGCAACTTTTGTTAACAACTTCTCCAGCTACAATAAAAAAGTATCATTGTATATTCTGTGGAAACCTTCGTTTACCTTGATTTATTATTTTCATTTACCCTGAGTGTTATTCTGCCTATAAAGTGGAAAAGGTCATGCAGATGATCTTAAAATTCGTAAAGAAGTTGTCTACCAATTGTAGGAATCCGAAAGTTCCGGTCCACTTTAGAATAACGTCACATCGAACGGTAACAATGATTTATTGCCCCGCCGTTATTGTACCTGCGAAGGCAGCGACTCTATGAAAATTGTCTTTGATCTTAAACAAAATACCTTTTATATATTTTATGTCACGTTTTAGAGAAGTGTCTTTTTTTCTTTCATCCTGGTACCAATTCTACGAATTCTGGTAATCTCAAAATGCGCTCTGAAATAGTATTTCTGTGTCTCTGTAAGAGCGGTCCAGTCGATTATCTGTAAGAGAGGTCCAGTCGATTTTGTTTGAGCTACAGATTTCGCTCATTTCTTCTGTGTTGTAAGACTTTTGGGTACCTATACTAGAACCCCAATCCGTTTGATCAGATCTCCTTATTTTTCAAAGTTTTATGGGAATTAAATTTCACTCGAGCGAAGGCCTGTTGTGACACTTTTTAAGACTTTAATTGGAGACAACTTTGGAGAACAATTTACAAAACACTATGGAACTCGATAAACAAAAAAAAAATTGGATATATCAACAAAGTTGAAATGGCAAATTGGCCACCGTAACGATTACAAAAGCTGACGTTTCGAGCGTTAGCCCTTCCTCGAAGCGAATAGAGGAATTGTGGGTTGTCTGTGCTTTTAAAGGCAGAAAATTGCATTTTCGGCAATATCCAAGTTTGGCCGCCAATCGAGGGACTGGTTAATATGAAGCGTAGCAGATATAAATCGAGCAGGTACGTCTAAAGCCGCCAGAAATACATACGAAAGCAATTTAGATGAACTTTGCTTTCAATTCAAGCTGTAAAATTTGCAATTGCTCGTTAAACTTACCATTCCTACATCCCCATGCGACCATTTCTTCAAAAAAATCAAACATTACAACTAGTGTTGGAATTCCCATCGTCGATTCCACCGTAAGAAATAACCTGTGCCACCCAAGCTTCGACTCGAGTGTGAAGTACCAATCGCATAACAAAACTGCTTCATCTTCGAGGCAATAGCACTCTGGTATTTTGCTTTTCTGCTCGACAAGAACGATGATCAGGAAGCGATCGCCCTGTTTACCTCATAAACGTGACCGCTGACCAGCAGCTAAGTGAAAACGGTACGGCTCCGTAGCGAGGGGCAGGGTGTGGGGTGGATGAAGGCGGATTATCAGAAGATTTTTGGGAACATTCGAATATATTCATTAAAGTACCATAATATGCATTACGATTCTCAGTCTTTGTGCAAAAGCATGCTTTCAGTGTTGGAGACAACTTTGGTTGTGCTGGGTATTCTTTTCTTCTTTCAAATGCATTTCGTTCCAAAAAAGGACTGGCATCAGTTCATAGATTTATAAACAAATCTTTGCCATGCAAATAAAAGTGTTTAGATAATCAAGGTAATCATTGAAGCTCTCGTATTGCATTAGTATTAAAGTGTCTTGTCTTTGCTCAACCTCAAGAGCGTGGAGCGGCAAAGACCCGACACACGAGTCACGCGTCTCGCAAATGCTCCATGCTCACAGATTACGCGTGACCCCACTATTTTTAAGGAAAACAAGAGACTGCTCGCAGTTTGCATTTCGTTGAACCATTTAATAGGAGTGACGCAAGTCTCTTCAATTCAGTGAAAAAGTCACAAACCCATTCTTTACGTCACGAGCGCAACCACTGACCACGCACAAATTGCTCCCTTGGCGTGGAACTTGAATCGTATCGAGCATACAAAGTTAAAGTAAGTTTCTTTGGATCTCCCGAACTCTTATCGCGTTGGAAACAATTACAAGTAGAGGAGGAATTCTTAAAATCTGCTATGTAAATTTTTGTCATGCTGTCTGAGAAGGTAAAGAATTTCGGGAGCTTTTCTACAAAGAAAATGGTAGGTCAACGACTTAGTTTTTCAGATAATTTACAAGGACTGAAAATTTGAGTGTCTGTTTGTAGACCTTACGTCTTGCCATGGTAGCCGATATGACATCACAAGTACTTTTAAAGTATTGCCCAACAATATAGTTGCAAAGATGTTTATAGTTTTCCCACGTGATTAAAGCTCTTTTCTTGTAACCTTTCATCGTTTCACAAACACTGAGGCAAGGGAAACCCTTCTTAGCCTCCCTGAACACCGTTGTTGTCCGACCACACATGTATTGTTTTTAAAAGAGTAGGCTTGCGTCCCATGTATTTGACCAGTTGTTGTTTTGATGACATTTAGGCCACACCTAACAAACTTCGTGATCCGTCGTGAACCCCTTGTCAGTGGTCAGCGGAGAAGGTTTGCTCCGACTTTCAAAACAAAAACTCCAAAATGTTCAACGAAACCATGAAGAAAATATCCCAAGGAAAATCCCAGCCACTGAAGGCCCCGTCAACGAAATGTTGGGAAGCTGCAACGTCTAATATGAAAAAAACTGTCTCAAAACAGCCGAGATGTCTTGTCGGTTGGCATGCGGTGTAATCACTCTTTATGATCCGGATGAGCTCTGCGAGGCCCTGGTAACGGCAAAAGAGCAACGGAGTTCACATGACATGCTTACATCAACCACTGCATACAAGAAAGTGCCAAAAAAGAGTCTAAAGGTTCAAATTCTCAGCCTGCATGTTCTGAGCCTGAAGAGCTAAAGAAACTTCAAGAGCCTTTCGAGAAGCTAAGTGATCGGCAAATAATGAAAGCGAGATAGCACTATTTTGCTGTTTCCATGCTCTACACTCTTGGAGCTCCCATTAAAGTCTAGAGATTCCAAAGCTGTTCTAATGTCAAAAATTAAGGAAATGATCCATGAATGCCAGTGCTCAGTGGTAGGATAGTTACACCATCAAGCAGGGATGCAATGGACCTTGTCGCGATCTATAATGGAGAGATTGTGAGGGGGTTGTGAAAATTACATTTTTTTTGTTCTGCCTTGACTTTGTGACGTAGTTTTGTTACAATTTGAACAGACACGCGTCATTCTTACGAAATGTTTTAACGGGAAACCAAACAGCATAATTTAATTTCCAAGAAGGTATAGACTCAGCCGTTTTTAGCCACTATTCTGCTATAACAAACTATATGTATATATTTAGCGTGGTACACAGAAAACAAAATCCGTTTACTTGTGAAAACCTTTGCGTTTTTATATTTTTTACATATTTATAAAGAATTGTAGAGGGTAACTGAAATGAAACAGAGAACGGGTGTCCTGCATAGCAGTCTTTCAAATTACCTTTAAGCGAACGGAGAGTCGTGCAGAGGCATGGGGCGTAAGCAACCAAAAAATTAAGAGCAGGTGGACGAGCTTATTTAGCCGGCCTTTTTCATGTCTTTTTATATGCAAGAGTGGTACACCAAAAAACCAGTTTACTTATAAAACTCTTTGTGGTTGTATTTTAAAAAAAAATGTGCAGGATGATTGAAAATGAATAGAATAGGCTTTAGTGATAAAAGGCCAGATCGAATATACGTTTGAGCTGAAACTAACATGGTTCACTTGACAATTGTACATTGCTAGTTTTATTAACATCATGCGTAAATGACATTGGTTACTGATACGGAAAATCATATTTTAGAGTGAGCTTTGTGTAAAGCAATGATTTTGCATACATTCTTGGGAACGGCAAAAACGACTTAGAACAAACATTCTAAGTACAGGTTTCATTCCGTGCAATGGGACATACATAAAAGGTACTGGCAAAAAATACACCCTATTTTATACCACAGAAGACAAGCAAAACGTCATATAGGTACCCCGTTTAAAAATACATCGATAACTCTATTAATCAATACCAGTTCTAATTACTTTAAAGGAAAAAGGTATGAGAAAAAAATAAAAGTAGTCTATACCACGAAGCATGCCTTCACCATGTATTCGAATACCTCATGACGATGAGCCCCCCACCCCTCGCCGTTCTGTTCTCACTTAGCAGCTGGTCAGTGGTCTCGTTTATGAGGTAAACATGGCGATCGCTTCCTGGTCACCGTTCCTGTCGATCAGAAAAGCAAAATACCAGCGTGATACTGCCTCTAAGATATATAGCAGTTGTGTTATTCTGGTAGTTCCGAAGTCAAAACTTAAAACATACGGAGGCAGGGCCTTTTCCGTTGCTGCACCTAAACTCTGGAACGAGCTGCCATTAGATCTTAGAAGCTTAGGTACAATTAATTTATTCAAGAAACACTTGAAGGCCGATCTTTTTAAAAAGGCATATGATGTTTAACTTTTTGATAATTTGGAATAGGATTTACTGTGATATTTTTATAAATAAGTCTGCAAATAGGTTTTTAATTTATTCATGTTATATTACCAGTGGGATTTTTTAATTATTTTAATATTATGAATTGTAAAGCGCTTTGGTCAATAAGTGGAGTTAGCGCCATATAAATTATGTTAAATTAAACTAAATTAAAGTTATTCGATTCGTACTTCACTTTCGAGTGGAAGCTTGGGTGGCACAGGTTATTTCTTACGGCGAACTTACGAGGGGAATTGGAAAACTAGTTGTGGTGTTTGATTGGTTGGAAGAAATGGTCTCATGGGGATGTCCGAATGGTAAGTTTAACGAATAATTTCAAATTGTGCTGCTTGAATTGAAAGTAAAGTTCATTTGAATAGCTTTTGTACGTATTTCTGACTGTTTTAGATCTACCTACTCGATTCATGCCTACAACGCTCCATGTTGACAAGTACCTCAAAATGGCGGCTAAACTTGGAGATTGACGATTATCAGGTAAGTTCGCGGAGTTATAAAGTTTTCGCAAAGGGCGGACCGCAAAGTTTTTTCTGTAGTTACCTCTTCTGTGGCATCTACTTCCTAGCTATGTTAGTTGGATCAGTTAAGAACGCCTCACCTTTTCAAAAATTTTCCCAGAATTTGATTGGTTTTCGCGTATGACTTCTCTTAACATAACATAACTAACCGGAGGGCGAAAAAACGCTTTCTCTTAGTCGCAGTATAAAAATACCACTTGGTTCTGTAATGTCACATGACGTTATGGTTTGAGTAAATTGATTTTAGTACCCCATAGAATTCCTTCGTGAAGTAATGAATTTACCCACAGAATATCAGTTTCAGTGCCATTGGTGGAAAATGAAAAACGACTGGACCTGACTTGCAACCCGTTTTCCAAACTCCATACGTAAACGAAAAACGAAAAACGAAAATTGAAGTCCAATGTCGTTTTTTTTTTACAGCGCAGCAAAAAAAACAAAAACAAAACACGGAAAACGAAAAACGAAAAACGCAATCGAAAATCGGTTGGTACTAAGGTACACGCATTCAAACGCATTTCTATCACCAGCTCCTTTGTTTGGAAGCTTGACATATCAACTCTGTAATGCTTCTGTAAATCGTGACGATGGCGGCTAACTACCTTACAACCCAAAACGTTGTTACTTCCTCCTACTCCAACCGCCCTTTTTTTTTTTGCTATGCTCTCGTGAATTCCCTGTCAATAATTCAATTTCAATTTCTTGTTCACAGTTTCAACTTTTCGCACTCAATTCAACTTTGTGCACTGTATGGGATAAATTGACGTGTTTTCAGCCAATGAGCATGCTGAAATTGTTGCATGAAAATTATATGAATTTGTAACTGCTTCAATTCATTGTACAGTAACTCAAGGTTACTCAGTGGCGTAAATCTGTATTTGTAAACAAACTTACTCTGTCTTTCTGAACTCCGCCAGCGTTTGCACTGTTGAGAACGTAGATAAAGGCAAAGGCTCTCGGCAAATACTCCGTGACTATTTCGTCCATGATATCAGATTCGCCGACACCAGGACTGTCAATGATGACGATACGATTCTAAAAGACAATTATCGATTTTTATTGAGAAACGATTCTTTCCCCTCAAGAAAGGAATGAGCATTTGCCTCGACCTTCTTATTGATATTACTCGAGAGTGGAGGGACCCAAAAACGTAAAATGCATTTTAGAATTCAAAAGTTATTTAAAGAATACTAAATTGCAACAATGATCTCGGGAATTTAGTCCAATTGGAATGAAAAGCTTAATCTTCCCATATTGAAGTCAAATTCTAAGTTATACCATTTTGCTTCTTGCCTGGCAGCAAATGTTTCATGTTAGATGAAACTGAAAAGTCTAAATTACAAATGTGCAAATGTGGGGGTGCTCTAAGGACCCTTCAAAACTCTTCCTTTCTTCTTGGGGAATATTTTGATGATCAATTTTCTAAGATTCAAATAAATTACCTCCAAAAGTTGGTGAGGCCAATAGAGTTGGACCTTCTTATAAATTGAACCTTTTTCGCGGTTGCTCTTCAAATGGACATAAGGAGAGATCTGCTGAAGATAGCTTTGTTCAGTTGCTCCTTGTGGGGGCTCTACGAGGGTAAAGGTTTTCGTCGAAAATCCCGTTTCAGGGTCTTTGTCCTTAAAGTGGACCACAACTCTGCGTTCTTTTCCGTATCTCATCTCTCAGATAGTGGAGGTTGTACTTAGTAAGGAGTAAGGAAGAAGTTCTTCGCCAAGAATGAGGTTCACCAGACTACTCTTTCCTGCACCTGTTTCACCTTGTGTCAAATCAAACAAATTGGCTCTCTAAAGCTTAAATTCAGGAGCTGAAGAAATATCAGCGCAATAAATATCAGTTCATTTAATTTCATTGAGACTAAAATCTCTTCTTGAGCTGGGTGACCTCGTATACGAGGTGACCGAGGTTTATTGTAGTTGAAATGCAGATCCAGTTTAACTGAATTACTTTATCTCTTAACTTATCAAATTCATTCTCCTATTACCCACAATTTACCTGCCACTAAAATGACATGTTCTCTCTGCTTCATGCGCTGCCTGTGGTTTCTCATTCCCTCGTTCACGTCTCCCATATTCATCGAAACCAGATTTAACACTTTGTCATCCACATGACTAAGACACGTTTCTGCTTGGGAGTAAAAAGTCAAAAGAGTTACCTTTTTCCTGGTATCTTCTTCATTTGCTTCTGACAGAACAGAAAAGGCCTAAGGAGCGAAGACAAAAATTGATGTTTACATTGGATGAATAATAGCAGCGAATTTAATTGCTAAAACACTATAATTATGGGTATGCAAAACCTCTAACTTCCAAAACGAAGCTAAGTGAAAAATATTTAAGAAATAAGAATGCTGACAAAAATAATTTTGTATCAAATTAAAAGCTTCCGTTGTTTTAAGGCAGAAACATTGGGTATGGCGGAAATAGCTTTATATATGGGAGACTTGGGCGGACTGCTTTGAAATTTCGGTCGAGGCGTACATTGTATACATAATCACATGATTGTGTTAATCAGCGCGAGTAATCTTTAAAGTTCATCCAAATTTCACGGGCCCGTAGGGTCCTTTGGGTCCGTAGGGTCCGTAGGGTCCCGTAGGGTGCTTTGAAATTTCGGTCGAGGCGTACATTGTATACATAATCACATGATTGTGTTAATCAGCGCGAGTAATCTTTAAAGTTCATCCAAATTTCACGGGCCCGTAGGGTGAGTGCGATTTGCTGTCTTTGTAATATTTTGAGTGCTGACTTATCTCAAATTCTACAAGAAAGAATTATGGTATTACTTTTTTATAATATACATGCAAATATTTGACTATGTTTTCTCTCAGTTCTGTTTATTTCGTGTCATGGCTCACTTTCCTTTGCGTTGTTGCTGGAGTAGTCGGGATTTTCCCATGGGAACGTTAGCTTGCTTGGAGCTTTTAAACTTTTTGCCACGAATAATCAAGCGTTTGCATCATGTTTCAGTATGCAGTACGAAGGATATCCCACTCGTAATCTTTCCCGTGCTTGGAAAGAATTTTTACCTAAACTCATAATTTTCTTCAGGTCTTCCGGCTGATAAGTTTTAATACTTTGTCATAGTCATTTTTTGGAACCCTAAGACATTTAGACTTGAATCCAGTTGTTCGTGCTTTGTTGGGTGGTTTTGTTCTCAGCAATTTCCTTAATTCAAACTCTAAATTAAAACGTTCTTCCTTTCCCCTAACATAACCGTCAGTTTGTTTTTGTTGTGCTTCCGCGGCTTTCCTGTTAACAAATTTGATTTCAAAACTCTTCAATTTATTTCAACTATTTTCAGTTAATTCAACTTTCTGTACTGTGTGGTATAAATGAGTGTGTATGTTATTATCAGGGGGCAGACTCTTCTGCAGAAGCTGTTATTAAGAAATGGCCTAGGCATTAAAATAATAACTTAGAATAATGGTGATAAATAAAAATAAAAGTACAAAAATAGAATATCTATATGATTGAAAATATAGCTAATAAAAACTAAAATAAGTATTTAAATAGATTAGGCATAGTTCAAATTTGAAAAAAAAATACCCACACTAAATTTTAAGAATTTGTAACCAATTAATCTCTTTCAAATACAATGGTAGTTTGTTAAAAGCTTGAGCACCTACGTAAAAGCAGCTCTTCGCAGATTCTGTGCGTACTTTAGGAGCATGTATCAATTAAGATCTCGACTATTTCGTCTAGCAGACTGATAATTTGATGACCCATCTAAATTATCTCTGAATAAATCCGGATACTGTTAAGGATGCCCTTACAAACAAAAATTATTTCATTCATCGTACTTCGTGAGTTGAGAGGCATGTTATTCAGCTGACATAACAGTTCATCTTGACTTCCTACCTTGCTTTCCTTGAATACTTTAGTACAATATTAGCAGCCCTCGATTGATTCACTTTTGAGTTGTTATTCTATAAGGAGTTAAATAGTTCTAAATATAGTCGCAGTAATCTCTCATAGTCGAAAAAACTCATTCAGCAGCCGAGTGGCCCTTACTTAACAAACCAAGTTGATTAGATACCCAGCTCTTATTTAGTCGATTGACATGCTCCTTTGAAGATAGGAAAATGCCTGAATACTTATATAAAGGCATATGACAGAGCGCTTGAGTTCTAAATAGTTAAACATCGCGTGTGTCAACAGCGTCAAATTGATTCAGTTTCCCAGCAGTTCCAAACATTACATAATCAGTTTTCGTGGGGTGAATACACAACTCTTTTTTGGACAACTCCAGGACAGAGTTGGGCTCGTTATGGTATTTTTGCAAAAGCTCGCTTCTATCAGAGGCTGCATAACAGAAACAGGTTTATCAGCGTAAAAGTCAATTCCTTCCGAAGTGTAAGATTTAACTGAGATATGATTGCACCATAGTTTTGTTTTAGGTTGTGCATTAAATTGTGAACGATCTGACATAGCTGGCTGTGAATGAGTTTTTTCTGCATCGAAGCAACATGATCACTCAGCCAACTAGTGAACACACACGACAGGGAAAAACGATTGGAAACAAAAGAATCATCAGTTAATCCATCCAGACCGGTTATAAGGTGCAGTTGACTCATTTCTTGAACTTAACTTAAATTATTTGTGAAATGAGCGATAAAAGTTTTCAAATCATATATGAGACATATCAAAAGTTCGACTTCATGGACCGAAACCTTTCACGTGAACCCCTCCGGACATCTTGAAATTTGACAAATAGATTATTTTCAGAGAGATTATTGGCGTCCATCACGGTGCTGAAACAATAGGATGCCTCAATGGTGGAGATCTAAGTCATCCGTATCGGATTAAAGCTCTTATCTGGTTCAAGTATTTTATTTTGCTACAACGAATTCCATTTTCGTATGTCTTTTCACTAGCCGATCACTCATTTCATAAAAAGAATTAGGTTCGATTTAAAAGGAAAAAGCCCACCAGCCGCAGTTGTGCCTGTCACTCATATTTATTTCGCATTTAAGAGTTTTCACTGATCAAAGGCTGACCAAGCGCAAGGCAAAACAGAAGCTCATTGTGCTACACAATAAACTGACAGACCATCTGAGCGAGAAGTGCTTGTTTGCATGTTTATCAAATGGCTAGGATCATAACACCGGTTTGCTGCTCTTGAAAGGCTCCTGCCTTTGGAAGCCATATTTTCTTTCACCTACAAACATCTCCCTAATCAATCTCCAAAGCTGTTCGACATAACTGATTCAAAAGGGAAGGAAACAATTTTAAATGGCGACAGCCATGCGTTGAATCGTACCATTTCAGATCATAATATTTCGTTAGCCATGGATCAAAAATACAAGTGCGTGCTGCTTGATTATTTGGCCAATGTTACTGAATAGATTTTGACGGCCAATTCTAAAAGAAAAAAAGTGAAACAGTTTATTTGCGCCATTTGTCCCTATCTTTATTTCCATTGTTTGTCAAACCAGGTATCTCGAAGTTCAAACCTGAATGGATAGATAGGCTCTTTGTGGCGAAGAGAATAACTTAAAAAAAAACTTGTATGAAAATCAAACAAACAAAGAACACGAACGACTCGAGGCAAGGGCAGACGGAAATATTAGACAATGGTAAACCAGACTAGAAACTTCAAAAGTTTTAAGCACGAGCATAAGTTATCACAGTATCATGAACAAGAATGAATCTCTAAAGAAAAATACGACTATCACTTGGAAGAATTGTCGGCACAGAGAATTAACATTGACAACTCAGAGCTGAATAAGCTATAAAATACTATCATAATAAAAGACAAGTACCGGTAGTCAATTATGCTCAAATTACTGGTATCCTATTCATTTAATGTAGGCAAGAACTACATCCTATTGCTCAAAGATTACAAAGCCGTTGGATACTTGACTTTTTGTATTCATTTAAGAAATTAAACAAGATTTGCCAATGTCAAGACAAATCACTTAATGCATTTATACACATCTTAAGACCAGGTGAACGCTTACCTGACTGGCAGCCCAAGTAGGGACGTATGAAGACTGATTTAATTCTGTTTTTATCCGACTTTTCATTTGTTCCAGCGTCGTCAGCCCTTCGCATGAAATTCCGAGCGCTGTCATGGCTTGAAACATGGATGACAGATCGTTGATTTCATGGATGGTTTTCGTTTTTCCCGATGCCATGTTTAAAGAGCTCTTAAATAGATAATGAAAATATGCAGTTCCAGAGAGAATAGAGCACCAGATTGCTGCACCTCTATTTTGCTTGAACAGACCAGTAGAGTGCTGTTGCTTTTTCAACAATGCATAACTACGTTATTTTTGGAAAACATGAGAAGGAGGACCCCTACAGCTCTATTTATGCGTTATTAACCCAGCGTGAGGTGAAGATGGCTGGATGTTGGCCGAGTTCTGTTTTGCATTGTTATGGACTGAGGCGAAGTCGACGTGATCAATCAGAACACAGGATTTTCTTCGTCTTGCCCACGGACGCTGCGAGCGATGTAATAATACTTGCTTAATGAAGTACTTGCCATGGATACTTTTGAATCATCTATTATTCACCAGACATTTCTTCTTTCGATCACATGACCAGTCCGATTAAACGTGGCAGGCAAACCATTGCTTGATAATAATTGAGATTTTCAATGTCAGAGAGGAAGCAGGGTTATTACTTGATATAGCTCTAAGCATGCTATTGTATGAGACGTTGTCAACTAGCATGACTTTTTGTCAGCTCGTTATTACATAATTTCTTTTCCGTTAAAAAAAAAAAAGCTATCAAAGTAAAGTATAGCAGAAAATAACACTTTTCGCTGAGATCGAAAAGCATTTATTAATTTCATCGAATCATGCCGAATGAGTCAAAGTGGTATTACAGCAGCTGTGTACTTTTAAGCTTCATAATCAGGACTAGACGCTAATGAAGCGTTAACTCGAGGGGATTTGCAATGTCTTATGTAATGAATTAAGACTTTTTTTTTTGGAGGAGGGGGACGGGGGGGAGAGCTTGGGTCGTCAGCTGGGGCCTTGTGTCATCCCCAAGATATTTGAGGAAAAGAAAAAAGCATTTTATTGGGAAAAGGCGCAAACTTGATTTGGGAGGCTCGTGTTTCTCATCCCCAGTTTCCCTAGTCTCCACCAGTGGAACGCCTAGGAAAAAATTGTAGATTTCGCGCCCAAAAGAGGAAAAAAAACTGCTTAGATTTTTTGACTCGAGCGTTCATACGGAAGCTCGAGTAGAAGGCTGTTAATGAGAGTAGAAATATTCCTTCAGACAGCCTAAAGCCACAAGATAGCTTACCCCTGGATGACGTTGTAAACTGGTTATTGCAAGTGGGCAATTCTCCGTTTTTTGACCACATGTAAACGGGTTTCTTTATCCAACTGAAGTCCCCATCAATATGTAAACAGGCCACAATTTTGTATTACATTTTCCAAAACGATAAAGAAAAGAACTTATTTGTCAGAAAACAAAGGCTATCCAATGATAGTCAGATATTTTTTCTTTCACTCCCTAGGATTTTTGGTGGTTATTTGTAATCTTTAAGAGCGGCCTTAACACTTCTGTTTGATACTTACTATGAAATTGATTGTTGACCCCCCCCCCCTTTCCTCGCCCAATGTTTCAGTAATAATCTGCACTTTTGCTATTAACCAATTTCTAAAGTACATCTCGACGAAGAGCCAGATATTACAATAGACAGCTGCGAGAGATTACAGATCAAATGTATGCAGTAAACCTCGGATAAAATATGTAACTGATTTCTATATACGTGTAAGGTTTTTTAACATTTTCTTTTTCCTTGCGCTGAGAGGAGACCAATATATCACGGGCTTATTTGTTTTTCGATTCGGTGAGCCATCAACTATCTCAAGCTCAACAATTAAATAACAAGTCAAATATTTTGGTAGTCGTAAATCTCTGTTACATTTTAAACCGTTGTAGGCTAAAAACACAATGTGCCAAATGAATGTCTAAGTTGACCGCTGAACAAAATTGCAGGCGCGATCTGATCAAAGATGGCGGATTGTCCTTCTGGGTAACATCAACTTTAGGGCATCAAATTATCTTTTTGCCACCAACACATATCATATGAGACGATCAGTATCACACCGTAAGAGACCAATCATTTTGGTGGATCTTCCCAAGACCTCTGCCTGCATTTAATATTTTAACCAGGCAATGAAGCAAATCATCGAGTCCGGTACATTGTTGACATAATGGCTACTTATCTAACAAATGATATCAAGCCAAAAGTTGCAACTGAGGTTCCACAGAGACACGTATGTACTATCAAATTTCTTCCTAGATGCTTTTGTCAGAAAGTTCGACTACACGCGCCCTTAATGTTCATCATCAACTGCTGCGTTTCCTCGAGAATAATCCAAATACGGCTTCGAAAAAAGTTTCCAAAACTAGTTCAACTTGCGTTATTCAAATGTTCTCTCCTTGTTCATTTTCATCGATACTCTCTGAGAAATTTATTGTAAATTTTAAGTTATTTTAAGTTAATAAAACAAAGATGTAGTGTACGGAATTTGGATGATATAGACTAAAAAGCGGGAGGTAGATTTAAATTTCACGTCAGCACGGGCCTTGAAATAAATTTCCCAAACATTTTATTACTGATGTCGGAAGTCCAATGACGATGCCCATATAGGAATGATGATCAGAAGTGGTTGCTCATCGGATATTTTGGACCTCAAAATACCCTTATTCTTGGACTTTGTCAAAACCCGAGAAAGTCGTCTAAGGGAGCTAACGGAAAAAAAGGGAAATGAAAGAGTTAAAACAGTTAAATTTTTTAGAACTCTGATAGATATAAAATGCAACCCAGCTCATTGAATCTGCAGATGGATTTTCAGTTTGCCACAGCAGCAATGCAAACTTAGGTAATTAATTATGCAAAAGATGCAGCAAATGGGGGTTTTCTCAGGGGGACCCTGTATCTACCAGGGAATTGAATATTTTGACCTATTATTTTTACACATTAGTTAACTCATGGTACTTAGCATTTTTGCCAAGTTTGAGCCAAATCGGTGATTTGAGGTTTATCGATTGCCACCTACCCATTTTTCTCCTGGATACGCTCTTCAAAGATGTCATTGGGTGTTTAAGATTACAAATTCGCACATTGCTTCTTATCAAAACTTTCTTTGTCAAAGTCCAACGGTGATATCAGAGATTCTTTCCATTTCACTTGATCAACAAATAGTCTATGAGAATGACATGAACAAAACATGGTTATAGACACACAATACAGTTTTCATGTGACTGTTGCCACGATGTATTGGAATCACTGTAATTGTTCGCCATCTTAAAAAACGTGCGACGTGATACCGCTGACCTCGTGATAAGGCATCACAAAAATCAACCCATGGCGGGGGGGCTAATTATTGTATTTTAGAATAAATTGAATAAATGTCTATCGAAAAATGACCACTGTGGCTCAAAACGAGAAGAAAGTGACTTCAAACAACCTCATAAAGCCCAAAGTTGCCGAGAACTCTAAAATTTGCCAAAATTCTAAAAAGTTGGTGAAAATCTCAAAAGTTGCCGAGCAACTTGTGGCTAAGCCTAGCGAAGGGTTTAAATTCGCGAAATTGTTTCAAAGTCCCTAAATCAATGTATCCAATTTCGGAGCTCATAAGCTTAATTGGGAGAAATTTTGACTTGATTGACAAATCGAAGGTCCAAAATAAATGAACGTTGTCAATAGGAATGGATTTTTCAAGAACTAATGCAAGGGGTTCTGCTCAGGTTGATTGTCATTCATGCCTAAGGAGACACCTTTTAAGATCGCGCGAGTAATTACAGTGAATTAAATGTATTACGGTAAACTTGACTCTTGTACATCCTGTAGGTGGCTTGAAGACTTCCTGTTTCAAGTTTGCAGTCTGTTAAAAACAACGACGATGTCACGCAAAGAATTAAATAGAGAAGAAGATAGAACTAGTGATGGATAGAATGGCTGAACTGGAAAGCCCACAGGACCAAATTTTCGACAAGCCGAGTGAACACCAAATGAAAGAAATCCAAGGGATTTTATATTACAACGGTTTGTTTTATCCCGCTGAAAGCCCCGTTTACGTTCTTAAAATTTTACCACTAAGAGTGTGCTGTCAATAAAGTTTTTTCGGGTAGCCTCTCTATTATGCCAGGTGTGTTTTGAATTGAGTTTAATGTTTTTTTTTTTGTTTTTGTTGTTGTTGTTTTTTTTTATTTGTTTTGTTTTGTTTTGTTTTGTTTTTTTTTGAAGTCGTGTGAAGCGTTTCTTTGCTTTCGGTAGACACGCTGTGTAGAACATTTCCTGGAATGATTCTGTCGGTGAGGTGGGTCCTCATGTTGAGAACTGACTCCCTGTTAACTCTTTCACACTTAGAGATGTTTGTGTCCAATGGCCTTTTTACAAGGAGGTGAGGTAACTTGTCTATGTGGGAGAACTTGCCTGTCCATATATTCTCTTAATAAGGACTTTAAGATACAACGTCCAGTACGTGACGAAGACAAACTGGAAGTAAAAATACCCAAAATGATTATCATTGCGCATGATCCCGACGTAACAAGCTGCGTCCTTGCTCACTGACGAACGCGCAGAAGACCATGTTGACGTTGTTGACAAACTGTAGGTGTTTCGACCTATTTTGAGTTAAGAGAGTTAATTGGCATTTATTCTTTGTATATCGAAAGCTTCATTATTCCGGCTGCATTCGCCATGTTTTTGTTTTGTTTTTTTTTGTTTTGCTTTTTTTGTTTTGTCTTTTCCTTTTAGGCTCAGTTAAACTTGCGAACAGTAAATAAAAGACACATCAGTCGCCATGGCCTTAAATTCCAAACCGCAGTGAGTAGATCTATTTTTACATTCGTCGTTCAGTGAATTACGGATAAAAGAAATAAATTGATTTCTTGTATCAAAGCAATGTTGTTCCCGATTATTTTCCTCCTTGTCGAAGATTTTCCCCATATGTTTAAATTTATTTAGAGTTCTTAGTTACTCGCACTAGTACTACGCTTCGTTTTTCGGGACTGATTCAATTCGCACACTACTTCCTGCAGAAATTGTGTGAGATTTTAAATAAAAGAAAACAAAACAAGTCAACAGAAAAATGTAAACGACTATGTTTGATTGCTAAATAAGCGCTTCTGTCAGCTAAATGTTTGCTTTGTTAAGCACTTTCTA